GACGGACTTCGAATTCCCTGGTAAGTGGTAGGAACACATGATATAGATGGAGGTATCCGACAAGGACAAACTTATGCGTTTTACGGAGCGAGAAGAGGACAGACAGTGAGAGTCTCTCTCGACGTATCGATTCGAGGGAAAATTCGTTAATAACTCAATTACCAGGAATAATTTATAAACATTTGCGATTGAAGCATATAGAATGGACCTTCAGCTACTTTCACATATAGTTTTTGATCAGATTTTATATGTTATTAGAGAGTTATTAATTAATTTTGACAAGCAGTAACCCCGCGTAACCTCAAAAAATTAAACATCGTTCTACAAATAATTAATTTCCTGACATTGCAGACATCATTTGTGATTATTTATAATCAAAGAATGTAGAATGGACTTCTAGCAACACACCGATAACAAATTTAATCACATTTGGTTCGTAGTTAATAGGTTATTAACAATTTTTGCGCGGGAGTATTCTTCTATCCTATTGCCGTAACGGTTCAGACAAGGACAGGTAGATGACGCAACAAGGATGGAAATATACCGAACGTGCCAATAACTTTGTTTCCTACGGCTCCTGATACTATTCTACCAGAAGGTGTATAAAAGAGAGTTAGTGGCACGAAAAACATACTGCTGTCTTTGTTGCACATTCTCCTTCTCTCTGTCTTACATATTGCGGGCATTAGACCGATAAACATACCATCAAAAATTATTAATAACTCAATAATTATGAGTCGAACCTTTACAAAATTATAACGAGAATACAGCGCAGACATCGCTCTAGATTCTTTGGATACAAAGATGCACAAATTGTGTTTGTAAAACGGCAAAATTAATTATTTTCGGAGGTAATGTCAAATTATTTGAAAATTCATCGTAACGGTTATTTTGAAAAATGTTAATAAATACCTAACGACGAACAAATTGTGATACAAAACGTATCGTGAAAGTCGCCAGAAGTCTACTCTAGATTCTTAAATCACAAAAGTGTATAAATTGTTATACTAAACATAGTTATTAATAAATTTTGAATGCAATGTTCCGACATAACCTTAAAGAGTTAAATACGCTCTCTCAAAACAATTGTTTAATTGGTTTTACAAGCATAATTTACGCACCTTTTCGTTAAGGGAATGTAACGTGCAGTCTTGGCTAAATTCTCATTACAATTTTGTTGAGATTTTATGCATAATTAATGAGTTATTAATGATTTTTCGGAAGTGAATTTATCTTTCTAATGCTGGTAATGTGTCCGACAAAGAGAGATAGATGGCGCAACAAGGACGGTGGATGTATCAGGAGATAAGCAGCAGCTCCAAAGTTAGTGGCACGGAAAGCTTGTTTCCGTCCTTGTTGCGTCATCTATCTCTCTCTGTCTTACACATTAACGTATTGGAAAGATAAATTCACCTTCCAAAAATCACTAATTACTCATTAATTATGCATAAAATCTCAACAAAAATGTAATGAGAAGTTAGCTAAGACTTCACTTTACATTCTTTTAACGTAAAGGTGCGTAAATTGTGGTTGCAAAACCAATTAAACAATGGTTTTGAGAGAGCGTATTTAACNCGTTTTGGATCACAATTTGTTCGTCGTTAGGAATTTATTAACATTTTTCAACATAACCGTTACGATGTAAAATCAAATAATTTGACATTGCCTCCGAGAATAATTAATTTTGCCGTTTACCAAACACAATTTATGCATCTTTGTATCCAAAGAATCTAGAGTGAAGTCTCAGCTAAATTCCTGTTATAATTTTGTAAAGATTTGATGCGTAATAAATGAGTTATTAACAATTTTTGGATGGTATGTTTATCGGTCTAATGCCCACAATGTGTAAGACAGAGAGAAGGAGAATGTGCAACAAAGAGAGTAGTATGTTTTTCGTGCCACTAACTCTCTTTTATACACCTTCTGGTAGAATAGTATCAGGAGCCGTAGGAAACAAAGTTATTGGCACTATTGCCATCCTTGTTGCGTCATCTACCTATCCTTGTCTGAACCGTTACGGCAATAGGATAGAAGAATACTCCCGCGCAAAAATTGTTAATAACTTATTAACTACGAACCAAATATGATTAAATTTGTTATCGGTGTGTTGCTAAAAGTCCATTCTACATTCTTCGATTATAAATAATCACAAATGATGTCTGCAATGTCAGGAAATTAATTATTTGTAGAACGATGTTTAATTTTTTGTGGTTACGCGGGGTTACTGCTTGTCAAAATTAATTAATAACTCTCTAATAACATATAAAATCTGATCAAAAACTGTATGTGAAAGTAGCTGAAGGTCCATTCTACATGCTTCAATCGCAAATGTTAATAAATTATTCCTGGTAATTGAGTTATTAACGAATCTTCCCTCGAATTGATACGTCGAGAGAGACTCTCACTGTCTGTCCTCTTCTCGCTCCGTAAAACGCATAAGTTTGTCCTTGTCGGATACCTCCATCTATATCATGTGTTCCTACCACTTACCAGGGAATTCGAAGTCCGTC